TTAGAAAGTCTAAAGAAATCATAAAAGCGATAAAGATCGTTTTGGGCTTAAAGAAACGTTCGGGTTTAATTGGGCCCATTGGGCCAAAACCCATTGGGCTTTTATTCAAGCATTGGATGACTTGAAATAATTAAAAGCCCAAACCAAACATCAAAGGCCGGCCAAAGAGAAGGGAGAGAGTGGGTCAATTGTTGACTTGTTTCTTTATGTAATAAAAGGAACATTATGATGAAACATGAGTGAGTGTGTTAGGTGGTTCATTATACACAAAAGAAAAGAAAAATCTCTCTCTCTCTAACCTCAAAGGCCGGCCACCAAAGGGAAATTTTAGCTAATCATCTTATCACCCTTTGGTTAATTCCTTCATCTTTCTCATTACAAAGTGGGTGAGGACCTTTAGAGGTTTTCATATCTTTGGAAACTTGAAGAGGACCTAGGAGCACTCATTCTCAACAAAGTGGAGGAGGCAAGGAGGGAGGCTAGGCTCAAGGAGTTCAAGGAGCAAAGAGCTTGGAGGTGGTCAATCCTTGGTCTTAGATCTAGATCAAGAGGTATAAAACTACTCCTAAACTTTGTTCTTCAATAAATTGTTTTTGATGCATCATATATAAACCTATGCATCTTGAAGGGGATTTGCATGACTATAGCTTTGATAAAATGTATGACATGCTTCCGTTGCTTTCGTATATAAATTTTGAATTGTATATGCATGCTAGTCACTAGAAATCCCACATAAATCTCATATTTTCCCTTCATATTAACCCTGAATGAGTTTCGAGGCAGGCAATCTCCCGTAGGGTACATGTCACATGTACTCCTAGAGAACTCATCTAAGTGAGAGTAGTTGTGAGGCCACAACTGTGAGGATTGGGTTGTTCTCTAATAACTCTCATGAGAATCAAGATTAAGTGCATGGCCATAAATAGCGCTAACCCGCGCCATGTTTTTGATCGATACCATATGTATTACATTTAGTATTCTGGTCAAAAGGAGTCTAGTTCAAGACATAGTTCACTATGATTCCTTTAGATGAAAGTTGTTAACACTAAGTGTAGGTTCAAGTCCAAAAGACACCTACACCAATTGCATGGTATACAAGTTGCCCAAATTTCTTCCATTAGTATCTATATGTTTTTGTCTTATACACTTATATGGAGTTTTGAATCTTGTGGGGGATTGTTGGTTATTTGTTTTATTTTCTTAAAGATTCAAAACTTTATTTGTTATTATTTTAAATAATAAATATGAAAAGTCATATCAATTAGAGAAGTCATGTGTTTTACCAAAGGTTATATAGAGTTTTATAAATGCGAAACTCCTCAAAACGTTAATAGAACAATGAAAATGTCTTCCTTCTCTCCCTACAACAGTACTCATATATAATCCTTATTATCTTCCTACTCATCTTGATTATCAATGGGCAATTGATCACTACTTGGCACCCCGTCTACCGTAATCGTGCTTATGCATTAGACACTTTGCGAGATTCAAGGGTTGTATTTTGGAGTTGTAGACAACTGTTATAACCGACACGTAGAAAGACGTCTACAACTTTAGAACAATGACAACACGCCTCGCTTGATATCACAAGCCAGATCATTCTTTACTTTTTCCTTTTTACTGCTTTATTTATTGATATATGTGTTTGATGCATTTAGATATTATCAAATTGATTGAATTTACATGTGTATTATGATCATAATCATTTATATTAAGGAAAACTAATGAAAAGGGCTTGAAAACTTTGAGTTTTAATAATAAGGACAAAATATATGGTAAAGTGAATAATACCAGGATTGACTTTTTAGTGTAAATGTGACATCCCACATCACCCAGGGGAGTGATCCTTATATATATATTCACATCCTTACCTAGCACGAGGCCTTTTGGGAGCTCACTGGCTTCGGGTTCCATAGGAACTCCGAAGTTAAGCGAGAAGGGGGTTAGAGCAATCCCATGATGGATGACCCACTGGGAAGTTGCTCGTGAGTTCCCAAAAACAAAACCGTGAGGGAATGGTAAGCCCAAAGTGGACAATATCGTGCTATGGTGGTGGAGCGGGCCCGGGAAGTGGTCCGCCCTGGGCCGGGATGTGACAATTTGGTATCAGAGCCTAACCCTGGCCGTGGTGTGCCGACAAGGACGTCGGGCCCCTAAGGGGGGTGGATTGTGACATCTCACATCATCCAGGGGAGTGATCCTTATATATATATATATATATATATATATATATATATATATATATATATATATATATTCACATCCCTACCTAGCACGAGGCCTTTTGGGAGCTTATTGGCTTCGGGTTCCATGATGGGTGAGCCACTGGGAAGTTGCTCATGAGTTCCCAAAAACAAAACCGTGAGGGAATGGTAAGCCCAAAGCGGACAATATCGTGCTACGGTGGTGGAGCGGGCCCGGGAAGTGATCCGTCCTGGACCAGGATGTGACAGTAAAAATGTAGTTTTTTATTAAAGTGAACAGTATTGTGGGCTTTTCGTTAAAACTCCCTTTATATTATCCAATATTATCTAATAGATAATTATCTGTCTTAAGGTAGACCTAAGTATTTGTTACATTTTGAATAGACTGATGCACACTACTAATCACACTAATACTCTTCTCAACCTACACATAAGAATAATACGTGTTCTTTTCGAAATTGCCACTTAATTTACTCCATAAGTTTGCCTTTTCAGAGTGAATAGTAAAAGTATGAAAGGATAATACGAGATTGATTTTTGGGCTGCCAGAGCAATTACCTTTTTAGAGTGAATAGTAAAAGTGAGTGCTTGTCATCGCCAACAGGTAGGATAACTCTAATGTGGGAGGCAAAACTGAAAAAAGCATGAACAGATTTCAAATTATAATTCACACCAAATTGCCTTCTCAATTTTGAATGATGAAAGGTAATTTATTTTTATACTGATGTGTTTTAATAATTAATTATTTTAAAAGAACTGTTATTAGCATTTAAAAAATCTCATTTATACTCCTCATAAATGTAGTTTTCTTTCTAATTATATAAAATTTAAAATGCAAAATAAAATTTTTAGAATTCCAATAATAATTTTCAATTTTAATTCCGAATACGTTAACACTTTATTAGAGTTCAGGTTTATTTTTTTTCATTCGATTCTTGATGGTAAACACTTGGGACAGGCCTATTTATTTGGGCATGTTTACTTACCAAGTTATCGGAACAAGGATACGGAGAATTTGGTATCAAATAAACAATCACATGTTAATCTCGTTTCTCATTGAATTTTTTTCACTTTTCAGGTACGAGAATACCCAGATGCATTTATGTTTTCCATTCTTTTGGTTCTAGCAAACATAAGAATATGAATGATATCAATTTCTTACAAATTTATTTTTTGTAAGTAAAACAAGCCTGGTCTACTATATTAATAGAATTCTGGTTGTCAATTAAATTTCTATGAAATTACCATTCTAACTGTAACATTCCACATCGTTTAGGGGAGTGGATCATGTAAGCCTTATATGTATATTTTCATCTCTACCTAGCACGAGGCCTTTTAGGAGCTCACTGGCTTTGGGTTTCATGAGAACTCCGAAGTTAAGTGAGTAGCGCGCAAGAGCACTCTCATGATGGGTGATCCACTGGAAAGTTCTCGTGTGAGTTCCCAGAAATAAAACCGTGAGGGTGTGGTAGGGGTCCAAAGCGGACAATATCGTGCTACGGTGGAGTTGTGCCCGGGATATGGTGGGGGTCCGAGTTGGGATGTGACACTAACCTTCTAATTAAAATTGAAAAGAAATAAAAAAAATATAAGCAATTTAGTAATTACAAACCACAAATTATTTTTGTATGCAAACCTCATAACCATGTAATAATAACATAATCGCCCACCTCACTTGTCTCTAACCCACCTGCAAATTATGTAGGCTCTTCCTCTCCTCCAAAACCCTAATTGCCCTCTACCAGACCTACCATCCAAAAGCTTCTCCCACATCCTTTGTGTTTTCCCCCAAGACCCTTTTATCGCCGCCCCCCTGCCTCTTTGACCCATGAACCCTAGACTGGAGCACCTCCCACCATGAATCGGCATCCAATGTTCTGAAGGTATGAGCCTCATTATTTAGTCTCTACATCTTATGCAAGGTTGGAGGAAGAAATTTTTACACATTAGAAATCTCTTGCAATTCATTAGATGTGTCATTGAAATACATATATTAATCATGATTTATCACTCCTCGATTACTTATTTTGTTGCATTTGATTGTTTTTACCCTTTGTTGGGTTTGGTTTCATCCAAGTAGAGTTCCATATTATACAACTTTCGGGAGATGTACTAGGATTTGGATCCTATCCGGATCCAAATTGTGGGGATTCTAGAGATTCTTACATCTTACTCATTCATCGTACATCGTGCAGTCAGAAATTATTTGACTTTTTTTATTTAAAAATTAAGGACAAATAATATCTGACGAAAGCTGACCACATGATGTACGATGAACGGCTATGATGTGAGGATCCTAGGATTCCCACAAAGAGGATCCTTATCCGAAGTACTAAAGTTAGTGATGATTTTAGTGTTGCAAGTAATAATATGACAAACGACTATGATGCGAGGATCCCTATGATCCCCACAAAGAGGATCCTTATCCAATTGAAGTTAGTGATGATTTTAGTGTTGCATGTAATAATATCTTAACAAATTATTATAAAATTTTGAAAGTATTGCCTAACTCATAAGTTTGGTTTTATTTCACTAATGTTAGTAATTATTTTTCATAAGTTCATGTAACTCATACCATAATGGAAAGAAAATTGAATTGCACACGAATAACGTCTGTACCGGTTGCTAGTGTTCATTATGTTTCCTTTCTTAATCCAATGACTACTCTTTCTAATTTCTTCTTATTCTAATTAAGCATACAATAAGAGAACTTCCCTCCTACAGGTGAGCCGCATGCGCATTCCTTGCGCATCGGTTGATTTAAACAAATCTCGACCTTCCATTTTTTTATTTTTTTTAAATGAAAACGAGTCGCTAAATTTGATTTGTTCAACTGATGTGCATGTGGCTCATGTGCAGTAGCGAAACTCTCCATACAATCTCTAATTCCCCAAATGTTGCTCCGCCTCTGTTACACAACCCGCCGCTACTGCCACCACCTCTTCCCCCACCACCACCGTCATCACAATCCCGCCCGCTTATTTTCCTCTTCCACTTCCAGAAACCCCGACGAGCCCCCCAACAATTTCAAGAATTCCGACCAAGTCCCCCATCCTCCGTCTGTTCTACACCGCCGCTTAAACCCTCTGTATTCTGTCCCTGGCGCTTCCTCTCTCCCTCGCGCCGCCGCTATCGCGCTCTCCGGCACTCTCGCCTCCGCCCTGATCGCCTTGTTCGTCGTCGTTTCGACGGACTGCTACGACAAGTCGTTGAATCCTGTACATAACGGAGTACGACATGCCGTCCTCAAATCCACCAAGTCGTTCAGGAAGCTTCTCCACCACGCTAAACAGACCGGCGTCGGCGCCTCCGTTCTCTGGCACTCTCTCAGCTCCATCTTGTCCTCTGCCAACCACGAGGTCCGCTCCGGCTTCGAGCTCCGGGTCGCTGCATTCCTTGCCGATATTGCCGCCGCCAATGCCAGCCGAAGGTCGCCCTTGTTGGGGCTGGAGGTGGCGCCGTTGTCGATTGGCTGCTCGAGTCGGTGGCTGTCCCTAGGGATGGGTGTGGGAGCCAGGCCGAGTCGGCTAGAGCTCTCGCCTTCTTGATCTCCGATCCTAATGTGTCCGCCCCCGTGCTTGGCAGGCCCGGCGCCGTTCCCAATCTCTTTAGGTTCATTTTCTCCTGCCAGCCTCATCCGTCTAAGAAGGTGAGCTTTCTCCATTCTTCTCTTGAATTTCGTTGAATTTTTCGAATTAGGAAATGTTTGGACCCAGCAATCCAGGAGTTTCTTATGCCAAGTATTTGGAGGGGCTTTCTGCACATTCTGCTCCATTGTTCCTCTGCCACTTCTACAATATCTACATTTCGCATATAGCTGGTGGGCAGGTCATTGCAAGACAGGTACTTTTCGAGTTTTCGGGATTCTTTAATCTTGCCTAAATGATTCTCAGTCTTGAAATTTATGTTAATTGTTCTGAATTCTGAGGCGGTGTTGCTGAAGTTGCGTAAATTCTAGAGTACATTAGCGTATGACATACATTATTGAATTTGCGGGGGGAAATGTGACGGAATTTAGTGTGCGACTCTAAGACTAAGCCGCTTAAAATACAATGCATTGATGTAGAGTAGAAGGTCTCCAACTTTCAGCCCATTTCGTTGAAGCATGAAAGTTTTGATCTTTGTGTGGAAAGATGAGGTTTTTTCTAGTGCTTTTTTACAGTGCGGAATCAACTGACTAGTAACTACTTTTGCATTCTGCAAACTGGGATTGGTGAATTTCAGGTATCTGAGAAGTTGCTGGAAGGAAGGGAGTTGGGGTTTTACACATGGGAAGGGGACGTGCAGGAGTTGTTGAAAGGTGTTCGTGAGAAGCTCAACAAGCTCGGAGAGGTTAATGCCTGAGAAACTATTTGTATATGGTCTCATTTGGTTGAGTTTCTTGCTGTGTTTACTTCTTAGTACTTAGAAGTTGAAAATTTTTGTTTTGTGAGTACAGCATTGGACTCGAGATGACAAAAACAAATGCTTAAAAGAAACAACAAAATCATTTCGGTATTTGGGGCAGACAGTTCGTTTGATCATCCTAGAGCCCAAGTAATCTGAATCAAACTGCTCGGGAGATCACTTATCGTTAAGAATGTCTAAATTTATTTTCTCCTTTCTTTTTTTGAATTTCTCAGATATTAATACCTCTGCTTTCAAACATTGGTTGCTAAATTCATCCTCGCATTTTCTGGTGCATTTGTGTCACAGCAGTGATCGCTAGCAATGGTTTTCTGTTCTGTTATCAGGTAGCATTGGTCTAGGGTGGACTCATTTTTGTGTAGAAGGTGATTTTTCGACAGGCTTAACTCTACGAGCTGGAGATGAACACCATTGCATCACTTATCTAGAGAGAAGACGAGGACGTCTTGTATACTTTTCTTCCGTAAGGCTGCGCTGAGCACAAGAAGCAGCTTCTGCGCAAGAATCGTGGATTTTCGTAGTCTTTCAGATTTTGGAAGCCCTTGTAGTAGTATCGTAGTCTTAGGATGATGTACAAGGGGATTGAGAAAGCACCCAAACTGCAACTAGATAGTTTTAAGGGAAGAATATGTTAACAAATGCAAGAATATTGATACTGAATTATTACTGAGTTAACTCAGAGATGGCAATTTTAAACCTCTTTTGATTTGTATGGGTGGATGACTGGGATGACACTTTATGGATTTAAACGTAGTATCGATACATATATAAATAAATTGTGTTATATTACAGGTGGAATAATAATGCCACATAAGAATTTGATGATTACACCAGGAAAAAAAATCACTCCACCAAATTATTCCAATTGTATTACTGTATCTATATTATCGATTTATTTTTCATTTGATTTAATTGTGTAGATAAATGCTCTAGTACATGGTCTAATATCTTAGTAGATATGATGTTGGCCTTTTACATATGCGTTCGGTTTGAAATTCCTTCTTTCTCCTAAATTATTTTAATTGTTTGGTACTCTCTCCATTCCCCTTAATAATAGTAATAGTAAATTAAAAAAAAACAAAAAGATAAAACCTCTATGGGATGACTCAGTGATTGGAGACGAATTTCAAGTCTGTATTTCACGCAGCACTTCCTGGATTTGATTTTCTGGCACTCCTGGATCACACTATTGTCTGGTGACTAAAGAGATGCTGAAATGATTCTGTAAGTCTTCTTAACTTCTAAAAAAGTGAACTATTATAGGCAAAACTATCAAGCTCCTCTCCTTTAATGAAAAAACAATAAGATATATAAATGCTCTACTATGACAGTGAGTTTAGGAGCACGTGCTGCTTATGACCAATTCAGATTCCCAGTCGGATCAAGTGGGGAAGTCAAACTACGTAATGCAGAATATAAATTAGACTAATTAGTTTGACAATCCAACAAAAGATAAGGGGAGATTTATTTTATAATCAGGTGTGTTATTTACATATTTTTTAAATTTTCAGATAATTTTTATTAATTTTTATTCTTTAATTTTTTTTAATTTATTTAATTCGATGACTGAAAATTAAAAGAATATATGAGAAGTACATTAGGGATTGATATATGATACGTAACAGTGAAATTGAAAGCCTTCGTAAAAGAAGCGATGCAACGTGGGAGGTGAGCTTATCAAGGAATATGAATCCCCTGCTTCTTTGACCTGCTGTCCCCTCTCAACAAAAAACATGCATTATCATATAACATTTGCATTGTAATAACGTAGTAGCAAATGGGTTAAAAAAATTCATGAGCCATACATGCCACGATCAACAATGCAACTGGTCGACAAATTTGCGTCCCTAAAGATCGCGAATCGACAATCGAAAAACTCTTGTTAATTTAGAGAGAATATTTAAGTACTGACCGATGAATGCTTCTTATACTAGGTCGCTGACCATAAGACGTAGTAAACTTTTGGCCTAAACATTAATAATTTGTGGTCAAGTTCTAGTGGCAAGTTGTACATATCGATTAGGGGCTTCCTGTCCTTACGTGGCTTATGGTTTGGTTATGGCAGCTCACTCATAAGACTTGAGTTCTGTGCTTCTGGAACTTCCAGCAATGGCTTCAAGTCTCAACCAAATATATAGCAAATAATATTTTAAAGAAATTATAATGGTATTATTATCAAAGTAATATTTTTCTTTTGGAAATTTTAGTAGTAAATAGTTGAAAAATTTCTATAAATTATTTTGTTACAGTAATCGAACCTAGTTTTGATTTCGATCCATGAAGTCAGTAAACGTTTGGGTAGTAGAATCATTTCAATTCTTGACTTTTATGTGTTTACTAACACATAAACATGAGCATTTCTAATTTATGACTTCTCTTTACGTTTGCAAACACATGAAAATTAACGAGTTATATAAATTTCATATTATACTTTGCATTTGTAATTCAATACGTGAAAAATTAAGAATTAAATTGATTAGAAAAATAGTTTATATCATTTTATTTATTCTCTCCATATTGCCCTAGGCAACATTTCTAAATGTAGCCTATCCAAAACCCTAGGCAACATTTCTAAATTCAGCATGTCCAAAAGCCTAGGCAGCGTTTAATTTCAGAAAAATTGTCCAATGAAATTACAAAGTCTAGATCCAAGTAATAAATACAGTGTGGCCGCGAGTCTAAAGATAAAAGATAGGGATCCATCTAAATCTTGATTGACACGCCCCGATCCTAATATCCCTCTAATACCAGGATGGGTACATGCTGACTGACACCCGAGGGTAACGAAGCAATTTTAAACATGCCTACAAAGAAAATATGTAATTATAAAGAAAAATGCCAATGCATGAACGTGTTCAGAGCATACAACTAATAAAAAATAATGTGAAAGAATTATTATAAAAAGATACGAACAAAGGAATGGGTCCTACACAGAGAAGACTCGAAGATACCTATGCGTAAGTGCCCTAACGTCGGGATCGTGTGCCTTGATTCTAACTCCTAAAGGGGGCGTAAAACAAAGGATGAGTGGACCAAAGTTTATAATAATAATACTAATAATAAGAAAACCATTTTCTTTCTGAACATACTAACCCCCTATTTTGAAAACACATATGTATAGTACGACATAATAGGTTTTCTGAAAACTCTAGCATGCCATGAAAAACATTTGTGAAACAAGTATGTAGAATCCAAAGCACCAGCGCTCAGTAAAGGTAATATAGTCGCCCGAAGGCAAATCCGTAAAACATCCGTAAATCACATCATTGATGTACTCAACTAGGGGTATTATAGTGACCCGAAGGCATAACCATCACCCGAAGGTGAAGTTGTACGACACTGGGATACACAAGTGAAGAAATATAGGGTCCATCACCTGAAGGTGAAGTTGTACGACTTTGGGTTACGCTAGAGAAGAAACATATATACATATATATATATGTATGTATATGTAGTGGGTCCAACCAGAGAAGAAACAAATATATACATATATATGTATGTATGTATGTATGTATGTATATGTAGTGGGTCCATCAAGGTGAAGCTCTACGACTCTGGGTTACGCGGCTTACGCCAGAGAAGAGATATAGGGTCTATCACCTAAAAGTGAAGCTGTACGACTCTGGGTTATGCTAGAGAAGAAACATTTACATATAACATAACACACCGACACTAGCACCGAGCTAGTGAAGCTGGGAGTATGTCATAAATATCATCAACTATGTCCTATGGTCATAGACGTCTACATACTCGGTTATGTGTATGTGTTATATAATAACCCACGTATCTCAAAAATCTCATATCAAATCTGGAGCTCAAAAGCTCAAAGCATCATCTCATAAATCCATGATAACTCATTTTCGTAAATCCATAGAATTTCATATACGAAAAGCCAATAATTCATAACCCTTAGTAAAACGTAAATTCGATAAATCATAAATATTTCGTAAAAGCAATTTAAATAAATCATAAATTCTCCGTAAACCATAAGTATGAAAATCCGTGAAACATAATAAACATATTCAATTCGTGAAATATGCAATGCATGTAAGCCTAATATTTTATAAAAACATACAATTAAAGAAGGGGTCCACTCACATATATTTTGTTCCCAGGGAGCCGCTCAAACTAGAGAAGACGATGTCACTTCCAACCGACTCACCTAAACACAAATAGAGGCCATTCAATAAAACTCTACTAAAACGATAGAATCTAGTATTCTTTGTACATGATAAGGCAACTTGAAGCATATTGTACCAAGGAAATAGTGATGATGGAGAGCTGTTCAAGATACCAATTACAATGTTGTTAAAGTCTGGTGTTACAAGAATGGGAAAGTGTGCTGCATTTGTTGGTAAGAAGATTAAAGCTGTAATTTGGCATAAAAGGTTAGGACATCCATCTGAAGAAGTTCTTAGTATGATGCTGCAAAATAATGAGTTGTCAAATAGTATAGATCCATGTCAATCCATATGTACTTCTTGTATTCAAGGAAAAATGAGTAGGCTACCATTTCATATAAAGCAAGATAGGTCTACTATTATTTTTGAGAGAATCCATTCAGATGTATTACATTACCTTTGTTGATGATTATTCTAGGTTTGTACGGATATTTCCAATGGTGAATAAATTAGATGCTTTCTTAATTTTTACCAAGTTCCATGCCTTTGTTTTGAACCAGTTTCAAGTGTCAATCAAAATTTTACAATCTGATGGTGGATGAGAGTATATGTGTAATTTGTTTAAAGAATTTTTGGATGCAAAGAGTATTATATACCATGTTTCCTATCCTCACACTCCCCACCATAATAGAGTTAATAAGAAGAAAAACAGGCATGTAGTTGAGACAGCTACAATTTAATGTCAAATGCACAACTACATATTCATTTGGTATCATGCATGTTCTCATGCAGCTTTTCTAATCAATCAAATGCCAAGTAGAGGCTTACACATGAAATCTCCATATCAGATTGTGTTTTAGACCATCCTGACATTAAGAATCTTAAGGTATTTGGCACGGAGTCTATCCATTACTGAGATCATTGAATCATAATAAATTGGAACCACGATCAACTCAGTGTACATTTCTTGGTTTTGCACATGGTTATAAAGGAGTAATATGTTATGCTAAAAAGACCAGAAGGGTTATTTTGTCCAGACATGTAATTCAAGATGAAGACATATATGCTTTCAAGCATGTTTCAACACAGAAGACCTCAAGTGTAGTGCAAAGGTCATTACAACCCCCAGTTTTAATACATTTACAAGTTCCAAGTGTTAGATCATCCACTTCTGTACAACTTCAACACAATTTTCAAGACCTCAACTCAGTATCTATCACAACTGGTGATGTAAGTGCAGGTTTTGATTGTCCTGATATTCATGAAATAGTTCAAAACACAGAAGGATTTGATAGTTCTGGAGTGTTGCACAAGAGTAATGATATCACATCATTAACATCTTCACATCATTTCTCCCTATTACACCATCACTCTGGTACAATATCTGTATTGCCTGTCCATTCAGAATCTTAACTTGAGGTATGTCTTCCAAATTTGTCTCATTCTGATGCAATTCAGCAACTTGTCACTTCAAATCATTCAATGCTAACTAGACTAAAGAATGGAGCAATTGAAAGAAGAAATTATGCTGCACTGGTTGTAGCTTGTCTTGAATTACAATCTTTGCAAATTATAGATGAAGAACCATTCA